TTGAATAGAAACATGATTCTAAGTTAGAGAAGCTGATTCACACACAGAAAGATATTCAAAACCACCTACAATTCACTCCCTATCACCCAATCTCAATTCCTGATAGAGACAGAGATAAAACACTCAGCTAGTGACAAGATTCAGCAACGTGGTAAAAGAATAATGTGCCAATTAGGGTTTATCACAAGAAGCTAAGGACTGTTCAATAGGAGAGAATCTAATAATAGAATCCACCCCATCAATAGTTTAAGAAAAATCATACGATCCCTGAAAAAAAATACCAAAAAGGCATTTGAAAAAAAAATTCACTACCACCCGCCAAGGCAACCTTTAACGAAGGGAACACAAAAATATTTTTTATCAGACTGAAGAGGTTTCTAAAATAAGAGCTGCTATTAATATTATAATTAGTGAAGAACTACTAGAGAGATGCATTTGAACATCAGGAGCAGAACAAGGATGTCTGACATAGCGCCATTACAATGTGTGAGAATTCAGGGTAAACGCAGCAGGACACAACAGAGAAACAGGAGGAACACATATCAGAAATGAAGACAGTAACTACACTGGTTAACCCTGATACCATGACTGCCTATCTACAAAAGCAAATGAGTCACCCTAAATCAGTGGATGCAAGAGACGTATTTGAAATAATCAACGAGCTGCACTCCTCCCAACAAAAACTGGTTAGAAAACATGCAAGAAATGCCAGTCACCACTGTGACAACCTATCATAGCATCACCACCATCACTAGGAAATCATGCAGCCTTTGGTACACTCTAACAGCAAAAATCCTGCAAACTGCTTTAGGTTGTATCGGTAGATGTTAAAATCCTCTCCCTTTTACCACCACATCAAAAAGAATAAAATACCTATGGAGGGTGGGAGGGAGGGAGACGCAAGAGGGAAGAGATATGGGAACATATGTATATGTATAACTGAGTCACTTTGTTATAAAGCAGAAACTAACACACCATTGTAAAGCAATTATACCCCAATAAAGATGTTAAAAAAAAAAGAATAAAATACCTAGGAATAAAACTACCTAAGGAGACAAAAGACCTGTACTCTGAAAACTGTAAGCCGGCGATGAAAGAAATCGAAGATGACACAAACAGATGCAAAGATATATCATGCTCTCGGATTGGAAGAATCAATATTGTCAAAGTGACTGTACTATCCAAGGCAATCTACAGACTCAATGCAATCCCCATCAAATTATCAATGGCTGGGCTTCCCTGTAAAACATTTTTAAATTTGTGTGCAAACACAAAAGACCCCGAATAGCCAAAGCAGTCCTGAGAAAGAAAACCAGCTGGAGGAATCTGGCTCCTTGACTGCAGAATATACTACAACTACAGTCATCAAAACAGTATGGTAATGGCACAAAAAGAGAAATGTAGATCAGTGGAACAGGATAGAAAGCCCAGAGATGAACCCACTCACCTATGGTCACCTAATCTATGACAAAGGAGGCAAGAATGTATAATGGAGAAAAGACAGTCTCTTCAATAAGTGGCACTGGGAAAACTGGACAGCAGCTTAAAAGAATGATATTCGGACATTCTCTAACACAATACACAAAAATAAACTCAAAACGGATTAAAGACCTAAATGTAAGACTGGACACTATAAAACTCTTAGAGAAAAACATAGGCAGAACACTCTTTGCAATTGCAGCAATATCTTTTTTGATCCACCTCCTAGACTAACGAAAATTAAACCAAAAATAAACAAATGGGACCTAATTAAACTTAAAAGCTTTTGCACAGTAAAGGAAACCATAAACAAAACAAAAAGACAACCCACAGAATGGGAGAAAATATTTGCAAGCGAAGCAACTGACAAGGGCTTAATCTCCACAATATACAAATAGCTCACACAGCTCAATATCAAAAGGAACCAAACAACCCAATCAAAACATGGGCAGAGGATCAAAGTAGACATTTTTCCAAAGAAGACATACAGATGGCCAAAAAGCACATGAAAAGATGCTCAACATCGCTAATTATCAGAGCAGTGCAAATCAAAGCTACAATCAGAGGGATTGGGGGCACAGTGGTTAAGAACCTGCCTGCCAATGCAGGGGGCATGGGTTCGACCCCTGGTCTGGGAAGATCCCACATGCCGCGGAGCAACTAAGCCTGTGCGCCACAACTGCTGAGCCTGTGCTCTACAGCCCGTGCTCCACAACAACAGAAGCCTGCACACCACAACGAAGAGTAGCCCCCGCTCGTTGCAAGTAGAGAAAGCCTGCGCACAGCAAGAGACCCAACACAGCCAAAAAACCAAAAAAAACAAAAAAAACTACAAAGAGGTATCACCTCACACGGTCAGAATGGCCATCATCAAAAGGTCTACAGACAACAAATGCTGGAGAGGGTGTGAAGAAAAGGGAACCCTCTTGCACTGTTGGTGGGAATGTAAATTGATACAGCCACTATGGAGAACAGTATGGAGGTTCCTTAAAAAACTAAAAATAGAACTATCATACGACCCAGCCATCCCACTACCGGACATATACCCTGAAAAAATCATAACTCAAAAAGAGCCATGTACCACAGTGTTCACTGCAGCTCTATTTACTATAGCCAGGACACAGAAGCAACCTAAGTGTCCATTGACAGAGGAATGGATAAAGAAAATGCGGCACACACATACAATGGAATATTACTCAGCCATAAAAAAACCAAAATAATGTCATTTGCAGCAACATGGATGGATCTAGAGATCATACTAACTGAAGGAAGTCAGACAGAGAAAAATAAACATCGTATGATACCGCTTATATGTGAAATCTAATTTTTTAAAAAATGATACAAATGAACTTATTTACAACACAGAAATAGACTCACAGACACCAAAATCAAAATTATGGCTACCAAAGAGGAAACATGGGGGCAAGTGATAAATTAGGAGGCTGGGATTAATATATACACACTATTATAAATAAAATGGATAACTAATAAGAACCTACTGCATAGCACAGGGAACACTACTCAATATTCTGTAACAACCCACATGGGAAAAGAATCTGAAAAATAATGGATATATACATATAACATTCAGTTTGCTGTACACCCGAAACTAACACAACATTGTAAACCAAGTATACTCTGATAGAAAGTTTTAAACCACCAAAAAACCACAATATTTTGAAGAGATTAAAAAAAGCCAGAAACAGATTTACAGGTATTGACAAGAAACTTACGGTTACCAAAGGGGAAACGTGGTGAGGCGGGAGGGATAAATCAGGAGCTTGGGATTAACATACACACACTACTACATATAAGATAGATAACCAACAAGGACCTACTGTATAGCACAGAGAACTCTACTCAATAATCTGTGATAACCTATATGAGAAAAGAATCTGAAAAGCAATGAATATATGTACAACTGAATCACCTTGCTGTATACCTGAAACTAACACAGCATTGTAAGTCAACTATACTCCAATAAAATTTAAAAAATAAAATAAAATCCTCTCTTGATAGAGAATTGTGTCCCATCTCTGAATAGTTATGCCCAAAGACCAAGAAACAAGTATGCGTTTTATTAATACGGAAGACAACATTGCTGGGCAGTGGCTCCATTCCCAGATTTGAAAACTGAGGCTCAAGGCGGTGAGTTCAATCGCAAGGAGTCCCATGTGGGCAACCAGTGTGCCTCACTCAGCCGTGAGGAGAGGGGCTGGGGCTGACACACTGCACAAGGGTTCCAGAGCTTGGGGACTTTCCATGCTGCCTTCTATGAATGCTCCCATTCCACAGATGGAGAAACTGAGGTTCAGAAAGAGAAGTGACTGGCTGGGGTCCTTCAGCCTGGTCTGGCTGACTTCATCAGCTAAGCTCCCTGGCCTCAACCAGCAGGTGGGGCTGGTCTTTCCTGAGCTCCCACAGCTCCTTGGGCATTACACGTCCATCACAGCGTGGCCCACTCCCTCCTACACGCCTTGGTCAGCTTGGTCCCATGCTGTGCTCCATACCTCGAGCCAGGTCCCTGACTCAGTTTCCCCTCCCATTTCAGCAGGAAGCTCTGGCTGTCTGGCCACGACCCTACAGGGTTCACCTTTCCGAGCCTGTTTCCATAGTTATGAAAGCTATGTTTCCATGGTTATGTCACTTATAGTTATGATTGACTGTCGTTACCCACAGGGCTGCTGGGGGGATTAAGTGAGCGTTTAATCCTGGCTGTCACAGAGCCTCGGGAAATTCACGGTGACTCCTCTCCGTGGATACAGAGAAGGAACACACCCCACTGCTCCCCCCAGAAGCACCAGCCAGAGTCGGTGCAGACTCACAGGTGGGAAACGGAGCTGGGAGGCGGGCTGCTTATGCCCATCTGAGCTACAATGAGGCCCAGCCCACAACCTGCCCCATCTCCCTCCTTCTGCCCTCCTCCAGGGCATAAATGCCAACAAGGAGGTGACAGGCCTGCGGGCACAGACTCTGAAGCCACACCCGAGCCCTCTCTCCAGGACACGCAGAGTCCTGCCCCTGGCTCCCTCCCAACACTCCTAATGGATCCACAGCCCAGCTCACGTCTCCTCGTCTGGACACGGCATTCTCACCCCAGACACCCTCAGATTCCCGGTCAAGTTCAGATGCTCAAGCCCACCCCCATCCCACCCCATCCGTAACCCTATAAAGGGCGTGGCATTGTCAGGTCTGACACCTGTCCAAGGCCCCGGAGTCCTCAGGGTGACTGCCGCTCCCTTCCTAGGACTCCATCCCAGGACCAAGCCCAACTGTGGGAAAGGGCCTCACGCTCTGAACCAGACACTGCTAGACAGTGCCGTGCAACAAGCCACTCCAGGTACTTCACAGTTTCCCTCACTCTCTCTAGAAGCCCCAAGCAAAGCCCACTTCAGAGCCACATTCGCCCAACACTTGTCATCACAAATCCAGGCCCCCTTGCGCGAGGACGTTCTGGGGAAATGTAGACCCAAACCAGCACTCAAGCCCTGGACCCCCGAGGGCCGCCCACGCCCGCTGACCTTCTTGGTGTAGCCCATGGCCTTCAGGACAGAGTGATTCAAGGTCTCCAGGGAGGCCAGGACGTCCTCGTAGTCCCCCATGTGGTCCACAAAGTAATCTGGGGGAAAGGAAGGCAGGGGTCACAGGTCATAGGAGGACCATGCCCCTCCCCCTGGGCCCTCCCACCAATCCCATCTGTGCCCCTCATTCATTGCCTCTCCCCAGTCCCCTCCCCTCACAGAAAACACACCCCAGCCAAGCCTCTGTCCCTGCACAGCCAGCACCTACCACACAGCTCCTTGGTGTCCACATGGCTGCAGAGACAGAGAATGAGAGGGACTCAGAGACTGGCCTGTCCCGTGCCTCCTGCCCTCCTTCCCTCCCTAGCGAGCACAGCCCAGTGTGGCTGGTAAAACACCTCCTGGGCCTCTTCTCTTTTCACCCCATGTGCTGGCACTGTGACCCCGGCTTTACAGGTACGGGAACAGCAGGTGAAGGATGCCGCCCCCTCCAGAGGGTTCCATGTGTGTGCGTCTGTCTGACCCCCTCACCGTGCTTCGCCACCCCTTCCTCTCCCAGAGCCTGCCCACCAGATCAGGAGCCGATGGGGCTAAACCGGGGGCTGGGAAAAGGGAGGGGAACAGCCCACGGCTATTACAGGCTGTCAGCAGAACTCTCCCGCGACGCACTGCCCCGGGCATCCCTGCCTGCTGGGTCCTGGGCTCTGCTGGGGGTGCGGGTTGCCCTCCCTGCTCTCACTCTAGGCCTGGGATCCTCCTCTCCTTCCTCAGAGGAGGCTGAACACGAGAAGGCCACCCACGCCGGGGAAGGCGCAGGCGGCAGCTTCAGAACGCAGACACGGCGGGGCGGTGCACTGGCGGCGGACGCCAAGGGACCTGAGCTCTGTGCAGGTTCTGATGACCTTCCCTTTCTGGGCCCCAGTTCCCTCACTGAGAGATGCCGGCCTACAGAGTGTGCCGGCTTCGTCAAGAGGCTTCTAGGAAAAGGCCCTGCAATCTCTGTCTTGGAGGTTCCCCAAATCCGCATCACCTGGTGAAAAGTGCTGCCAAGTCCTGCAGAAACGAAGCCTGTTTAATTGTGCTCAAAGGAGCATTTCACCGACCTTTCTGAGCCGTGTGAACGGTTTTGGGCAGAAAACCTGTTTAGCATCCCAAGGAGGGGACGTTTACGGCTCACAATCTGGGGAACGTTGGAAAGAAGACACCCAAAGGTCTTCAGAGGTCTGGGCTTTGCTAGTGGTAAGTCCGCCCGCCCGCACTCACACACGCTCACCACTGCCGCCTCCTCCCAGACCCAGCTGCCCGGAACGAGGATGAATAACCCACAGGCACCTGCCGCAGCCCTTTCAAGCTCCCCTTTCAAGCTCCCTGGGGCGCTGCAGGAACTGCTCACACCTCCATCTCGCTCCAGAAACAAAGGCCTCCCCTGGAGCCTGCGGCAGGAAGCCGTTTCTTTCTAGGGGCCTTTCCCCCTCCGCCTGCCCCACCCTGGCTCCCAGGACGCTCAGCCCCACCTCTGGCCCCAGGCGGCCCCATGCTGTGTCCCTTGCCAACGGGCCTGGTGGCACCTCGTCGTCCAGACCATCTCTAGCCTGTCGCAGGGGACCCCAGCTTATCAAATCTGCTCCAAACAGCCCCGAGGAACTCAGGTGTGGAGTGGAGAAGGGGGCTCGGGCCTCACCTGCCTGGGGATCACTCAGAGAGGGCAAAGCTGGAGTTCAGGTTGGGAAGGGTCGGCGTGTGTGACTACAACGCGCACTCTGGACTCGATTTAGGGATTTAGAGTTTGAGGGTTGGGGCCGGAGTTTGGGACTGACTGAGACACAGGTTAGGGTTCTGGCTGGGTTGGAGAAAAGGTGATTAGGTACAGGGTGAGAAGGAGAGTTCAGGTTAGAGTGAGAACAGTTTGGTTTAAGATGGGATCCGGAGAGGATCACAGAGCTCATGGTGAGACCAGGGCTAAGCCCAAGGCGTTGGGGTCCGAACTAGGTCAAGGTGGCTCATCTCTCCCTTTCGTTATCCAGTGTATGTTCTGCAAATCTACGGTCTCTCCCAGGTTCGCCATGTGTGCTCAGAAAACACAAAGACTTGCCGACGCAGTATCAACCTGTCCACTCCCCAGATCGCCCCGGCCAGTCGGGGCCAAACAGATGGGACTTCTTAGCTGGTTTGGGGACTTTGAGGTCTCTGTGCCTCCAGGGGAGTGGGCAGTGGAGACTGGCCACTGCGAGAGAAGGGAAACGCTGCCTCTCGGCCCCAGCCCCCAGGACTTAGCTCACTTGGTATTGTCCGAGTCGATGGTGTGGAAGAGACCCTCTAGTTCTTTCTCGTTGAGGACGCCATCTGCAAAGAAGAGCTGGAATTCCTCCAAGGATAACTTCCCGTCATCTGCGAGGAAGGGGTGAGGGGAGAGCAGCTGGTGTCTAACAGATGGGACATCCCCAGACCCAGACAATTCCCAAATCAACAGAGAAACTCCAGCCAGGTAATCCCCGCCTGCCCGGCTAATTCCCAAACTAGCAGATAAACCCCAGCTCAGATCATCCCTGCCGGTGCCGCTAATCCAAAGTAACCAGCCAGCTCCAGTTCACGGAGATCACAGACTCATCTAGCTAATTCCCAAACCAACAGACCAACACCATTTACAGATAATCCCCAAACCAGCAAATACTGGGGCTCATTAAGCCCCACAGTCAACAAGTAGATAGAGCACACCTGAGCCTGTCAGGCAACCTTTTCTCCCAGTCACCTGACCACATGGAGGTAGTCTGATGACCCCTCTCTGTTGGTTCCAAAAACCCAGAACACCTCCGCACACTTTAATCATCTCCGCCTCGGCACCCGGGTCCGGATTCTGGGGAGGGAATGACCCCTCTCCACTCTGCCTTCACGGAGTCTGACGTGAGCCCGCTGCCAACGGTGGCACTCACCGTGCCACGGATACAGCCCTGAGGATGCCAAACCCCGGGGGAGGTGGTGCCAGGCCTGGGGCTCTGGACAAGGGGCCCTCACAGCTGACATATCTGTCCCAACGCCTCCCTCCCCGTCTCACCTCTTCGGCCTCCACTTGCGGTTGCCCTGGGTACCAGCATATGCTGGGGAAGTTCTCATGGGTTGGGGGCAGCTGGGCCCCTGAGAGAGGGGCTCCCAGCAGAACTCCAGCGACTCCCCAAGCTTCCAGCCTCCACTCCTCCCACCTGGGCTCTCCAGCTCAGTACACCCACCTCCCCATCCCATCTCGGAAGCCACAGCCCCCTCCTCACTGATCTTAGCTTCCTGCTCCTCCTTAAAGGGGCCGCATCTGTGGGAGACAGCGGAGGCCAGGGAAACGGGTGAGCCCCAGCCCCTCTCTGCAGACCCCCTTCAGTACTTCTGGCAAGTCTGCAGTCAAAGCCCTCGAGAGCCCACGTGGCACGTTGTGTTGATTAGAAAGAAACGCGCTTCCTGATGGGGGGGTGGGGCGACGCGGTACAGCATCAGAGCACGTGAGGGGAGGGCTGCGCAGGCTGGACTGAGGCCCTCAACTCTCTCGAGTAGCTGCCCTTGAGCAGGGCACAACCCGCACAATCAGACGCGGCAGACCTACTTGGACCCAGGCAGAAGCCACTCGTCCGTTTTAAAGGCTCTGGAGCTTCTATCTCTGCGGCCAACAGCTCTGCAGGCGCTCAAAGTAGGGCAACTTTGAGTAGGGAGAAGACCCTCACGCCTTGCGCTGGGCTCCGCCCCGCCCGTGTTGAGAGACGGGGAACATGGGAGGGCGGGCACGGGCTTGCACGTGGGGGGGTGGGGGGCGGCGGCAATGTCCGGCGTGCCTCCAACTTCCTGTCTCAGGTGCTCAGGTTTCTTTCGTTTTCTTTCACCTGCACAGCATTCGGGATCTTAGCTCCCCCACCAGGGATCAGGCCTGCGCTCCCTGCAGTGGAAGCTCAGAGTCCTAGCCACTGAACCAACAGGGAATTCTCCCGGCTCATGTTTTAATGTCACAGACGGGAGAATGAATTTCTAACTTTCAAAACCCAGTCCCCCCAAAACAAAACAATCCCCCCATTCACACATAAAAACCCAGAAACCAACCATAAACAGTGCACGATACCAGCCGTGACATACATAAATGCTAAGTTATGGTCCTTGTCTTCTGTGAAAGAGGACACTTTCCAGGTTTCCTTTAACAAGACTGATGACGACCCAGGAGCCAGAGAGCAGAACCAGGGCAGACACACAGGCTCTGTGTGTTCACGCATCTGGTCCTCACAACACCCCACCACATAGGTATACCATCACCTCCACAGAGCAGAGAGGCACAGAGCAGTTATGGGACTTGCCCAGGTCCCTCAGCGGGAGGTCGAACCCAGGCCACCTGGCTCCTGAGTCCATGCTCCCGACCCAACCTGGGGCAGGGTCTTGTGTGGAGATCCCCAGCCACAGGGCTACATGGAAAAGCCGAAGCCAAGTCTGGACTCAGTGGAAGCGTGCTGTGATTGATTAGTCACGTCTGCCACGGGCACGGCACCATCCCTGCCACCATCTCCTTCTGCGCATCCAGGCACCTCCATCCAGTCCGCACTCAGGAGAACAGACAGAGAGAGGCCCGCCAGGCCTCCCGAGCACGAAGCCTTCTCGGTGACATTTAGCTTGAAAGTCCCACCACAGCCCTACTGAACCCAGATCAGCTAATGAGGGAAGCAACATCCGCCAGGGCCTCTGTCCAATTAGACGAGCGAGAGGGCCTAGCACCTCCGGGACGCCCCGCCCCCCCGCCCGAGTGGGCCGTTTGCAGGTGTCCTCACTAATTAGCATGAGCTCAGCCTCTGCTGCAGTGACCTTTCAAATGCCAGGAGTCTGTCAGCGTCCCTGTTCCCTGGAGGAAACGCAGTCTGGCACCCACCCCTCCACCGGCCGCCACACCACCCTTCCAGGTCCTACAGCCCAGGCTGCCCGGCAGGCACCCCACTCTCTGCCTCCCCGCGGGGGCCACGCCCAGGCTCCGGCTCCACCTCCACGAAGATGCCTCTGTCCTGGGAGCCACCAGGCCAGGCCAGCCCGAGCCGAAGCCCTTGTACCTGTGATCCCAAAGGCCGATTCCACTCCAACCCGCGGCCGGGGGCCACGGGCCAGCATCTTGCTTCCGTGGACAACTGGGGCAGAGCCGGCATCCATTCCCTGCCCACACGATGTTGGCAAACTAGGCTGGGCTCAGTCAGAACCGCCCGCCATGCTCCCCACCTGAGCATCTGCGATCTCTGACTTGTCCTCTCTGAGCCTTGATTTTTGACACCCATAGAAAAGGGGTGGGGGGTGATGCTGCTTCTCCCACTAGGAGCCCAGGGAACGTCACATGAGGTCTATTAACGTCTTAGTGCCTAATAGATGCTGCACAGCTGCGGGCAGTCTCCACCCGATGGTGAACGCCCCGTGAAGCACGGGGTGAGAATCAAACACTTGTTGACAAACCAAGACCCGTGTTGCAGGGCACTCAATGCTCATCAGCTGGTGTGAGGACTCGCTGGTTCCTTACAGCAGCCAAGACCCGCGCTTCACCCCACCCCCCATGCCAGCCCCTTGAAGCGGGCACTAGAATGATGATCCCCACTTACAGATGGGGACACTGAGACCCTGAGAGTTTGGTGACTGCCTGAGGTCACAGAGCTGGTAGGCGGCTGAGCCCTGGCAGCCCCTGCAGCAAAGCGGGGGCCCGGGAAGCTTCCTGGGAACCAGAATCACACACCCCATTAACCCTGGTGACAACCCCCCACGGCCACTGGTGCTGGCCGGGAAGACGAAGGCCCCAGGGGCAGGAGTGGGCTTGGGCTCCGCCTCTGTGGGGACCGCAGGAGCAAAGTCGAGGGTCCCCGCAGCTGTGCTCAGGGGGCGGAAACACGGCCTCTGATGGGCCGGGATGCAGGGGGGCGGGGGATGAGCAACGAGGATGAAACCCCATCCGTGCCTGAAGGGAGACCAGGGCGCCACCCGCCCACCCACACAGACACACACACACACACAGCTCCACACACACACCCTTGGTATGTACAGCAACAGTCAGAGAACGGCCGTTCAACCCTCATGTGCACACACTCTCTCAAAAGCATGAATGGTGACGCACAGCCAGACCCACACGGCTGCATCCCAGGGACACACACCGCACTCCCAGCGGTGAATGAGTCCGTCACCTGTAAGCCAGCAGCCATTTACTGAGGACCTACTGTGGGCCGGGCCCACGACAGGGACAAGCCCAAATCCCTCCCTGGAAAATCCTCGTCATCTGCCGAGGGGCGTGGCCAACACACGGTGATGATCCCAGGCCGTCTGCACAAGAGAAGGTAGAGAGAGGCCCCCAAACCCCTTTCTCTAGTCTGACACTGTTCAGGCCGCGATGCCACGACGATTTCTCGAGCGACACTCAAGTCCCCCCACCGCGTCCCTCTCTTTCTCCGTGCTCCGTAGGGAATTGCTGCATCTGACAGTCCTGTATCCCAAGAGGCCTGGGAGTGGCCACCGTCACACCCACGGATGGTGGGTGAGAGAGGGAGATCCCTGGGTACTAGCTTCCAGCCCAGGGCTGTTCCCCAAGGTCTCATGCTCTACCCCACAACACAGTGCGGGGATAGCTCAAGGGTAACTCCCAGGGTCAGGAGGGAGGGGTGCTGGGGCCCGGGAGAGTGCTGCCATCTTGACCTCTGGCCCACGCACGAGAGGGCCTGGGACCTGAAGGCCCTGGGGGGGGTGTGGGCAAGCGATGGGCCATCTGTTCCCCACTCCTTCCCCAGCACGGGCCTTGATACTTCAGTAGTATTTTCTCGATGGATGAATAAATCAACACTGAGCACTGCCTGCTTCTCTTTTAAAAAGTTCACCACCCATCTCCTCCCTGCACTTCCCCAACAGCCCAGGGAAGCAGACAGGTTACGTGTTATCACCCCACTTTACAGATGGCAAAACTGAGGCCTGGAGAGGGGCTGTGCCTTGGTTAGAGTCCACAGAGAGTTGCTTCCGGCCCAAGAATAATGACTATGGTATTTATACAAACGCTCTCTGTGGCCACTGTGAGGCTCAGATGGGCCTTAGTAAACCTTGTTAGCTTCTGGCCTCTGCCTTCCAGAAAGGTCCAGGGTGGAACATCTCCAGCAAGTCAGGAGAAGTGGAGTGTCCTGAATTCACTGGCCCTGAATTCACGACAATGTGCTCACTTTGTTCGGGAAGGTGCGTGAAGTGGGGAAATCTGCTGGGGTCCGCAGCAGAGCTTCGACTGTCTTCATGCAGCTGGGTGACCCCGGGCAAGTCACAGAACCTCCCTGGGCCACTACGGAGTTGACAGAATGGGGGCAACCGCACCGACTGTATCAGGTGGCTCTGAGGAGCAGGTGTGCCAGGGCCCAGGAAGGGCCTGCAGTGAGGCTGGGGGCTTCCTGGGCCCCCGCCTGGGTTGCTCTGGTCCAGCCCAGCTGCATGAGATTCAAGAACATCAAGGATTTACCACGGGCAAGGCATCACAGCATCACCAGCACCTGCTCTCTGAATCGGCACGGCTCCCCTACTAAGCAGGAACTACGGGGAGTGCCATTGTAAGATGGGGAAACTGAGGAATAGAGGCAGGATTCAGAGTCCTGCACTCCCAACCAGAGAGAGTCAGGTCCTCATTCAGGGGACAGCCTGGGAGGGAAACTCACCATTTTTGTCCGCACGGCGGAATATCTGCAGAGAAGAGAGGTCGAATCAGCGCTGGCCCGGAAGGGGCGGGCTTCTGACCACCGTCCCCAACCCCAGGTGGTCTGGGGAAGCTGGGCCCCCTTCTCCCTCCCCGGGGAAGACACCCTGGCTGGGATCCAGGGGCGGGAGGGCGTTTCAGGCAGAGGTCCTCCCGCCGCCTGCGCGGAAGCAGCTGCCCACTCTCCCTTCTGTGCCGGCAGCCTGCCCACGGCCACGCTGACACACGCACACATGCGCGTGAACACACGCTCACACCCATCACGTGCTTGCGTGTGTGCTTCCAGAGCTGTGGGTCTCTGGGCTGCACGCCCTGTTGGACGCTCAAGTCGCACACTCAGAATTCCTGTCCCATGGATGCAGCCGCTGGCCTTATACATCCCCCCTCCAGGACCCCTTGGGAGCCTGATTTCCTCCAGGGAGGTTGGGTTAAGTCTGAACAGAGGTGTCTGCTAAGGGAACCTCGAGGCCTGATGACTAGATCAGCCAGGGCAGAACTGGATTATTTGGGGGGTGGGGGAGTGGGTAGGCTGCCAGCAGCTCAGAAATCTGGTGCAGACGCAAGGTTCCGCTGCCGGCTGCCGTGGGAAGGGGAAGGGGGGGAGGGGGGAGGGGGGAACCCCATCCCCTCCAGCCTCAGCTGAAACCAGATGACTCCTCCTCCTGGTGTTTTTGGGACCTAGTAAGCCTTGCTGATGGAAGGAGAGGCAGGGCCCCCCTGGGTGACCATCACCCCTTTAAGGACAGAGCCCCCTAGGCCCCTCCCTCCAAGCAACGGGGCAGGCATCCATCAGCAAACACCTGGGGCTGTGACAAACCAAAGCAGCAGCTCAGGAAGCTTCTCAAACATCTCCCCTTCCTTTAGCTGAACCCTGAGTCCTCGGCACGGGGCAGTAGCCACTGTGGCTGAGGCAGAGAAGGGAGCAGTTATCAGCACCCCACACGCCTGCTCCGCAAGGTTCCCGGAGGCAGGGGTCCCACCTTCAGGTGCCCGTGCCGGCCTGAGCGTTAAACAAGTGGCTGACACGACCACGTGATGTGGCCCCCATGCCTGCTCATCAGCCCATTTCACAGATGAGGAAATGGAGGCTCAGAGCCAGCTCATGGCCAGCATGCGAGGACTCCAGAGTCCACCTCCAGTCCTGTGAGAACCAGGAGAGGTCTGGACAGGTCTTCCCTGCAAGGGTGGCCCAGGACTCTCAGCTGTGAACACTGCTGGGGCTTTGAGAGGGTTCAGCTGTGCAAGTGCGTGTCGGGCTGTGTGTGAGCCTGTTTCGGGGGGCACTGAGCCACAGGCACTCACAGCACAGATCCCCCTTCCCTGCCCAGCCCTTTCCGTCCAGAGCCAGCTATGGGCTCCAGGAGGAAGGGGGGGCTCCAGGAGGAAGGGGAGAGCGGAAATCCACGCTCCCCCCACTCACAACGATGTGTCACACACACACACACACACACACACACACACCCCTCCCAGAAACCCACGATGCACGAGAGGCACCCCTGCCCGCGGTCACCCACCACACAGGACACCCTCACTGGGACATGCACACCCCACTGCCATGCTGTCCCCTGGGGGGCAAAGCTCCCTCCACCTCCCCCCAGCACTCTACCGCGGACATCCATCCTGTAGGATCTCCCTCCTACGGTGGGGAGTGGGTGGGAGGGCGAGGTGGGGCCCCGGAGGGGATGGATGGGGGTGAGGTGAGGTAGGGAGGGTGGCGAACGGAATGACGGGGCTCAGAGTGGATAGGGGTCCCCAGAGGGGTCCAGGCTCAGGGAGGACGGGGGATGGCTCCACCTCTGCTGACAGGAGAGGGGAAGACAGAGGTGCGGAGGGGGCCTCACTTTGAAAGAGGTGGTGCCTGGGGGAAGGGTATTTAGGGTAGAGAATACAAGGGCTTAGGATCTACAGCCAGGACAAGAAAGGTGGCCCCGGACCTAGGGGTTGTGCGTGTGTGCCTGTGTGTGCGTGTGTGTGTGTGTGTGTGTGTTGCGGGGAGGTGGTCTTAGAAAAGTAACGACTGGGGCAGGAATCGGGATGGAGAGGAGGGGGCCGGAAGCGGCCAGAGGCTCCCGTCCCGGGAAGGGATGGGGGTAGAGGATGAAGTGTCGGGATGGGAAAAAGATGAGGGTTTGGCCAGAACAAAAGTAGGGGGGCGGTGGCCGGGTCGAGGGGCTCCAGGCTCCCGGCTCTGAGAACGTGTAGGTCCCCAGAAGTGGAGGAAGGGGACGGGGAGGAAGGGGTCGTCCCGGTCCAGGGACGAGAAAGGATTCGCATGGAGACCCGCCGGGAGGTAGAGGGGCAGGGGGCCGCGCTCTGGGACGCGGAGGGGCCGGTGCGGGTCCTGCTCCGGACCGCCGAGGGGGAGGGGCAGGGGGGTCCCTACCCAGGGAGAAGGGGGCCTCGCAGGTCCCGGCGGGGACGGAGGAGGGGGCTCGGGGTCCCGGCCGGCGCGTACTCACGTCCAGGATTACCGCGGTGCCCCCGCGCGGCGAGGCGGGGCCCGGGCTGGGGCCGGGGTCCGCTGCGGGGACTGCGGGGGCCAGCGGCGCCCGGGGCTCGCCCATCCTGGCGCCCACCCAGCGCAGCAGCCCGCCCAGCGCCCTGCCCTGCGGCGGCGGCTCCCGGAGCAGCCTGTGCGCGCCGGCCCTGCACAGGCGCGCCGCCCGCTCGCACATCGCGCCGCGCCCGCCGCCGCCACCGCCCGGAAGCCCGCCGACCCCCGCCCGGCCCGCGGACCGCCCCCGCGCGACCCCCTCCCCGGCGCCGCCCGTGCGCCCCGCCCTCCTGCCCTCCCTCCCTCTGCCCCCGCGGCCGCGCGGGGACTGGCCGGCGCTCGGGGACGGGAGTGGGGGAGGGGCCGCACCGCCCGGACCCCGAGCCACGTGCCCCGTGGCCACAGCCCCCACCCCCCGCGGCCGGGCGCGGCGGCTGGACGCTACCCAACAGGCGCGGGGTCCTGGGGGTCTGGCTGCGGGGGTGCGTCCCTGGGGGCTGCCCCCCCTTCGGAAGGTGCCCCGCCCCGCCTTGGTACCGCCGCAGGGGCCGGAGCGCGGTGTCCGGCGAGCCCGGAGCGCCCTCTGCCGGCTCCGGCTCCGGGTATCAGCGCCCACGCACGGGGGGTCTCCCCCACCACTCCGCTGGTACTCACTCTTCCCTTCCTCCAGGTGCACGCCCGGTGAGCCCTCACCCGCCTGTTAAACAACGCCCAGAACCAGTCTTCACTCCGGAACACCCTCTTCCCCTCACTCCCCGCATCCATCCACCCACCGACCCAAAGAATTAAACGAGCACCTGCTAGGTGCTAGGCCTGGTGCTGGCACTGGCTTCCAAGGACAGGGAAAACAGACGAGTTCCTTGGCCTCCTTGAGCTTACATCCAAGTGGGCGGAGCCAGATACTGGAATGATTCCACGGATAAATGAACAATTAAAACTGAACTGTTATGAAGAGGTGGCACCTTGGGCCATGAGAGGGGAATTTGCCTATAGGCCATGGAGGGGTATGTGTCAGAAGAGGCTTCCTACAGGAAATGATCCTTATGCTCTGAGAGTGGAAGGAAGAGGAGTTAAAGACAGGAGGGGAAAGTGCCCTCTGCTAGACACTATCCTGTGCAAAGGCCCTGTGGCAGGTGCAAGTGTGGGGAACATGAAGGACCGACTGAAAGGAGACAGTGTGGCTGGAGGGAGAGTGGGAGAGGCTGGGACTAGACTGGAGGGGTGGGCAGAGCAGGAACGCCTCCCCAGCACCCATTCCTCAAACACAGCTGCTGTCTCCTCTGCTCCCACTCAGCTGCCCTTCCTCCTGGGGCACCGTCCATGGACTCCCAACCCCCCAGCCCAAGGACGTTCTCCCACCAGGCCCTGTGCTTCTCCCCCCGCCCCCACTCCCCAGCTCCCAGAGCAGGTCCTGGGCACCTGGCCGCCTCCCCAAGCACAGAGTCCTCAGACACAGGAGTGCAGGCAGGCGCTGGTTTTATTTGGGACCTGGTTCTGGGAAGAGCAGGGCCTGGGGTCCTCCTGGCTCGGTGCTCAGCTGGCCCCGGTGACCCCAGCTCACACCGGCAGCTCTCACCCCCAGTTACAGCTCTGGGCCTCCCCTGTCCTGTGGTCACTCTTTCCACCCTGGTCTGAGTCCTGGCAGCCTGGGTTTCTCACTCTTCATCTGAGAGGGCCGTTGCATGGGCTCGTGGCCGCTCCTGTCTCCTGCCAGGAGAGGCCCCCTTCCATCACTGGGGCATCTTGGGATGGGCTCTGCGTCCAGCAGGGCCGTGGTGCTCTCCCCTCCTCTTTAGGGCCTGGGTGCAAGGATGCCAGGCCAGGTGCTAGGGCGGCTTCCTGGCCTCCTTCCTCAGCAGGGAGCTGGCCACAGCCAGGGCCCCGCCCTGCACAAACCTCACGAAGTTGTCCCCGGCCAGTGGCCCCACGGCGTACAGGCCCTCCCGGTGGACGCTCTGGTAAGTGAAGGGGTCCACGTCAATGGGGTTCCTCTTGGCGCTCAGTGGCTGGCTGGGGTCCGTGGCGAGGTCAGCGCCTGCGCCCGGGAGGAAGGACAGATCAGGGTGGGAGCCAATGAGGGCCAGCACCAGGGCGATGCCGAAGACCTTCTGGAGGCCCCGGGGGTCCCGGAACACGGCCTGGCGGTCCTCCCTGAGGAGCAGCAGCTGGTGCTCGGGGAGGCTTCGGTAGCCCTCGTAGGGGCTGGGCGACAGGATGGACTGCTCCCGCATCATCTGGTGCACCTTGTGGTACTCCGGGTACAGCATCTTGGGCAGCTGGTTGAACACCAGGCCGGGGTCGTCCACGGACCGGCGGAAGGCGTGGATCACAGGGATGTTGTAGTGGCGGGCGTAGAGGACCGCGTCGGCCGCCGACAGTCCCGCCCCGATGATGAGGACGGGGTCCGAGGACGGGGACACGGTGCCTGCCCGCGTGGCTGCCTCCAGGGCCGACAGATCACGATGGACGAACGGCAGGGCCTCCCCGGGGATGCCCAGCCGGGCCGGGCTGTCAGACGTGCCAGTGGCCAAGACCACGTTGCGGGCGCATAAGGAGAAGGGCTGCTGGCTCTGGTCCGCGGTGGTCACGAAGCCGTTCACCTGGAAGAGGGGGCTGGGGTCCCGGGCGCCGGGGCTGCTGGGCTCGGGCGTCCCCCACTCCACGGCCGTGACCACGGCGCCAGACACAAAATTATGGCTCAGGCCCTTCTTGATCACGTAGTCCCTATAGTAGTGCGCGATGTCCCCGGCCGTGGCCCGGCTGTTGCGAAGACCTCTGCGGGGAAGGACGAGGGAGGGTGAGTGTCACAGAGCGGACTGCGGGGGAGGTGGACAGGCTGGAGTCAGGCCCTGGAGCTGGACGGTGGCTGCACCACCCAGACGTGTAGGACTTGGTTAAGTGGTTTAACCTCTCGGAGCCTCAGTCTCCTCTTCTGTACAATGGAGCTGATAAGGGTGCCTCATTAGGGTGGGGTTCAGAGTGTGGCCTCCGGTGCCAGACAGCCTGGGTTCAAATCCTGGCTCTGCCACCAGTGAGCTCGGGGCCTGGAACCCTCTGCCTGGGCTCCTCCTTTGCAAAATGAGGATGACCGTGGTGACAGCACCCGTTCCCTGCCATTGTTGAGAGGCTTAGATAATACGAATGAAGAATTTAGAATAGAACATGACAGGTAGTAAGTGACATGAGGTCAGCCACTACTATTTCCTCAAGTGACTAAATAATATTTTACATAAATGTGGTAGGATTCCGTTTTTATAAAGTTCAGAAACAGACAAACCTAATCTACAGAGTTAGAGGTCAAGCGAGTGGCTACCTCTTAGGAAGTGGGTGGTGACCAGGAGGGGTCTGAGGGGGCTGCTGGGGATGGGGGGGAATCTGTTTGTTGAGTCTGGGCGGCTGAAGCGCAGGTGTATCCACTTTGAGAAATTTCACCCACCTGTAGGCATGTGAACTGTGTAGTTCTCTGTATGTCCCGGTATTTCAGTAAATAAGTTGGTTAAAGCGTAACCCATGTAAAGCACTTAGCATAGTTCTTAGCCCACACAGTAGCAGCAGAGACTATTATTATTATGATATTACTACTATTGTTGTTGTTGTTATTTCTATTGCTATTATTGCAATCCTTTCTGGGGCCATGACTAGGGCCAGCATTGCCAGTGGGTGACGCACAGACATTTTTTTTTTTTGCGGTACGCGGGCCTCTCACTGCCGTGGCCTCTCCCATTGCGGAGCACAGGCTCCAGATGCGCAGGCTCAGCGGCCACGGCTCACGGGTCCAGCTGCTCCGCGGCGTGTGGGATCTTCCCGGACCGGGGCACGAACCCACGTCCCCTGCATCGGCAGGCAGACTCTCAACCATTGCACCACCAGGGAAGCCCGACGCACAGACTTTGACATCATCTCAGCTCCTCCCTGTAGCTACCTGGGTGACCTTAGGTGAGTTACTTTTCCTGACTTGTGGACACTTTGTTACGGATTAACTCACTGGAAGGGAATCCTCTTTGACGGGCCTTCAATACAACTCCTGATTGCAGTGTAAGCTCAGAGCACATCCCGTAAGGCTGCTCCAGCCAACCCAACTGCTAGTCTGCTCCTGAAACTGCAAGTCTGGAATCCATGCCTGTGGGCTGGGCATTTCCCCTCCTCTATTTTAGTAAAAATTGTTTCGAAGGACTGTCCTGAGAAGATGTGGCATCCGGGGTTCTTTATGATAGTGGCACACGGGAAAGAATAAAAGCTCCATGACCGGGAAGTGGTTTAGGAACCGTGGCAGCACCATGAGGACGGGAGTGCATCTGTTGTGGCTTTTGGCTCCAACATCTAAGCACAAGGCTGGGTATGAGGAAGTACTCAGTGAAGATGCTCACCGTCTCTTGGGAGTATAAGTGGCCATGTGAAAGGATGGTTGCAAACACTGTGTAATGGCCATGTGAAATCCTCACGACATAATGTTACATTTTAAGAGTCTGATAGAAAAGAGCATGTCCACAAGTTAAATTTACGTTCCCATCTGTCTGTTAACACATCGCTACACCAGCCTGGATGTCTTCCTATCAAATTTTCAGGGACAAAAAGTCTTTGTGTCCAAGGGGCAGTGAGCCCCAGAGGGGTGGAAACGGAGCTGCCAGAGAGGCCGACCGCCTCCTTGGTGGGGACAACAGGCCCCCTGTCACAGCCCCGAGGGCGGCAGAAACGTACGAGGGCGAGCGGGGGCTAGAATTTATCTATTCAGTGATTCTGCTGTCTCTCTGGGGTGGAGAGAAGTGTGCAGTGTGGTCTTTATGGAGCAGGAAACCGGATGGGAAGAGAACCCCCCGAGATGCGGCGGTGCCAGGTAGGCATCAGTTGTTTTCCTTTTCTCAGTTTTCTATAGTATGGTTATGTTTCTAATGCAGAAATATTTTTTTTAAAAAGTGCATCCTATTAGCTGACCTAGACAAAAAGAGACTGTTCCAGGCCAGGCTCAGAATCGTGGGAGGCCAGAGGGCTGGGAGCCTGGGCTGGAGGCTCCGGGGCAGGGCGTGGGGGGCAGAGGCCAGCTGTCACCCTCTCCTTAGAGCCTGGGATGCTACAAGGAGGCCAGGTCGAGGTCGTGCAGCAGGCGCACTGGACAGGGAGTCCTAGGTGACCGCAGCTCTGCTCTTCACTCCCCGTGTGGTCCTGGGCAAGTCCTTTCCCCAGCCGAACCTCAGCTTCCCCCGCTGGAGTAAGAGGAAGGGCGGGCTAGGTGAGCCCCGAAGCCCTTTGGCTCCCAGTTCAATGTCGGGTCGGGCCCAGGTCTTCCCTGCCCATCTGGGGCTTTCCAGCGCAGCCTCACCTTCGCTTCCTGCACATCCAGTCCTTGACCTGCAGGTCCGGGAGCCCCATCCAATCGCCTTGGCTCAGGGTCACCATGGAGCCTTCAATGGACTGGGAGGAAAGGAGACCAAAGTCCAGGCTTCTGCTGGCCCCCAGTCCACTGAGGGCTGGAGGGCAGGCTGAGGGGAGGGGGGGGGAGGGGGAGGTGAAAAGAGAAAGGTGGGCAATGGAAGCGT